GGAGACGGGGGGAGGGGGGATGATGGTGTGGTGGGAGGAGAGAGAGATCTCGGGTGTATCGATGACTCAAGCACCAAAGGAAGTGTCCATGAACCGCAACGAACAACAACATCAACAGCAAAGTGGAATGACTTTCTCTGAACACTTGCAGGGATAGACACAACATATTTGTATGTTACGAGTAGAAAAACAAGCATGCATGATACAATCAGAGAGTGTTGAATACAATATGTACATAATGATGAAAGCAGAATGGACATGTACATTTATTTTCTCTCACTTAAAAAGTAATACTTTTTACCCTTCAAGAGAAGTATAACAAACTCACTTTCACAAGGACATATTCAATCAAATATAGCAGAAATATAACAATGTACACAGAATTATCTTTGACTTCTGCAGGTAAGTAACTATTTTTGGGAACAATTTTCTTTCATTCCCCAAAGCCAGACACTTTCCATTGCTTTGTCTTCGTGCAAACTTATGATAATAATATTCATAGTTTCTATGTTTATACTCAAAGTAGAATAGCTTATCCAGTTGTCGGGTTTTTTTTGTTCTTTTTTTTTGGGGGGGGGGGGTGAATCCACATTCAAAAGACAAAAAACAATGAATAACTTATCTCAGTCAAATACTACAATAAAAAAACAACAAAGAAAAATTTTTTTTTGCTGAACATGTCTACCTCATTAATCTGAATACAACCAACATTCCATCCACTCAGAAAAGTCAGCTCACAAGTGGTGTTCTCACACCAAAACTACAGGACATCTTACTTTCAGTTTTTAATTAAAATGCGAAAGCAAAATTATATATGATCTCTCCGTGATTTGATGAAACTGTATCTGAAGGGGAGATTACTGCATGGTCTGTCTAATAAAGAAATACATCTGGAATCTTTTAACTACAACAATTTACATAAAGTTAATACCTGTGGAAAGACTGAGGATATAACATTACTAAATGATACAAGAGCCATGAAGCATTTCTTCTCTGCAATAAATATGATTTAACTATACTTTGGATAAATGTTGGCTTCATATTACGGAAATTGTTAAACTTAACTAAAAATTAACTAACAGCATATATGGTTCTGCTGAATTGGTTACTGAAAAGAGCAAAGAATTTGAAGAAGCCAGGTGAATATTAAGAATTACATCAACATCTTTACATACTGGTCCGATAAGTTTATGGGTCTAATGTCCCTTTCAACTTTGTCAAGTTATTTAAAAAGGAGGCTACAAACAGCTCTGAACACAAAACCTACAAATCAAAAAAATAAAGTAATGCTAGAAAAAAAATCTACAAAATAGAAAAGTTTGAAGAGGAATATGTTGCAATAGTTTCCTTATTGCAACACTGACATCACTTGCACCATAAAAACAACAACAAAAAAGAATTTGTAAAAAATACCATCAGACTGTCTGACATCAATGAGGAATGTGATAAAGTTTTAAGAAAAAAAAAGTAGCCTGCAATAATGGTAGGCAATATAAGAAAATAATTTACAATATAAACAACACTTGGAATAACTGTCTTTTCGTACCTCCTGACTTCAAATAGTAAGTCTTTCTCAAAAGGGTGCATCTTCAAGAAACTCATCACAGGACAAACATTCCAAAAATACAAACTAAAGTGATTCTTCGAGTCATTAACTTCGTAGTCTTTGAAAGTTATCAACAAAAATGAGCACATCTTATTTCAGCAGCTGTGAATTGACAAAACTTCTTGGTTTTAGAGAGTTGGATTTTATGCAACGGATGAGTATTGTAATCCCGTAACTGACATACAGGCAGCACTGACAGCTCCTTGAATTCAATACTGGTCACGATGATAGTGAGAGTGCATTAACATATTTCCCTGCTATTACTGCTAATGGGCAAGAGCAGCACATCAAAGAAATTTTTTGGGTACTTGTTTTAAAAAAATACCTGGAATAGAAAAAGTATCCGTGTTTCCATTATTATCCAGGACACAAGCTGTGTACTTTTCAGTGCATTCAAAAATACTTCTTTTATTTGTAAGCCGACGTACAGAAATAAAAGCAATGAAAATGAAATCATGGGGCTTCTCTCAGAAACCTATTCAAACAAAACGTTCAGTTTGTTCATCATTTCAGTGTTCAGGCAGATCATAACATAGTACATTCAAGGCATTGTTGCTAATCAAGTTGTCCATCTTATGGAAAAGTAAAATAAGCGTAAAATTAACACTAGGTGAGCAGGTAATTATACAACAAATTTCAGACTGGCAAAAAAATACAAATAATGATTAATGAGAAAAGTGCAAAAATGTAGCACAGGAATGTCCCCTACAGAAAATATTTGGTGAGTGCTTTGGCCCCTTGATCTTCCAGCACAAATTAATGTAAAGTTAATGGTCCTGCAATATTACTCAGAAATGCTTCAGGCATTTTATTTTGATAAATTGAGTGTAAGCAGTTAAAATTGAAACCTAATCTGAAAAACTGATAAATGTCTGAAAACTTGGGTGAAATCTTATGAGTCTATAACATCCCCCATAAGAAAAAGCTAGTCGCAAGGACATAAAAAAATTGGTTTAGGTCTAATCATGCTCTGCTTAGAAGTTAAGGCAGTCTAGCATGGATGCTTTAAACTGTAAGAAATGAGTACAATGAAATGAAAGTCTTCAGCATTACAATCAGAATATCTGATCAGTTCAGAAACCAATGGTGTATACTGATACAACAAATGAAATCTGTACCTTTTTAGAAACTTTGTGAATTAAAACAAAGAAACTGTTAGGACTCTTCTTTTTGCTAGCATAATATTATCAACAATCCCAAACCACCTGGAGTCATGGTCTAAAACTTACATCATTTCACTGTTAACAATTTGAAGTTTCGATAATTACTGACAGAAAGCAATGAAATCCATGGCAACATTGCAAACAACTTTGAGTTTCAACAGATAGGCAAAATTAAAATGTATAACACAAACTAGTGTCATTAATGGCTTTCGTTAACACTTCCCTTAACTGTTTCATATTTTGTTCGGAGAGAATGTACAGATTTATAACTTAGGAAACTTACATACAAACAAATCAATAATGTTTGACATTACAGAGACTGTAAATTAATACACATCATAAACTTGCTATTACCTTTATGTCAAGAAACCATATGCAGCTTAAGTTTAAAGTCAATCTCCTGGTCTTTACCTTTTCCTTCCTAAAGGAAAATTCTACTGGTCTGGAGCTGACATCAACTTTTTTAACGAATGCATACAAATAATATCGAAAAAAGTTGTGCACAAAAGCAAAAAAAAGCAAATGTAGAATCAAATCAATAAGATGATAAAATGAATCAATGAAAGTAAAATAATCATCAACACTCATTGAAAATTTAAACATCACTGACAATTCAAAGAATGTAAAAAAAAACAACCCCATAACATACAAACCTAACTGACTAACAAACTACAAATAAGCAAAAACTCTGCAACAGACTGACTCAAAAATCCACATCCATGCCCTGCTCCTGCCTTATGAAGACACCTGAAGGTTTTGGAAGTTCTTTACCATGTCCAACACTTTGGAAGATCTGTTTGACGCTTTGTCTGATTGCAAGAGTGCACTTCCAGTTGCAGGTGAGTCCGTCTTCTAGGAAAAACATCAAAATGAGTGACAAGCGGTTAATGAAATGGCCAATCAGAAGCAACAACAGAAGTAAAGAGTTGCGCGAATAATAGACAGCTGGCGAGCTGAAATGCAGAGGCAGACAAGGACATAAAGATAAGGAGCCCAGTAAACATGAGAGATCTTGCTGTTTTGTGGTGGACATTTGGTTACTGATGGATATAATGCTTGTGCATGTATGTTTTGATTCATGTTTTGTGTAAACAGCACTTACCAATGTGTGACTGTACGGCTCTGTGGGTGGGTGTATGCCTGCATGAGTGTTTTAAATATTTGTCTCTGCATGTGAGGGGGCGGGGGGTGGGCTGCGTGAGTGGGTGTGTGTTTGCAAATGAGCTGAGCAAGTGTCTGCATAATATGCATGCATACGTCATAAGTATTTGTTCGAACAAAGTATGTGAACATATGCATTGTGCTGTGAACTGCTGTGTTGGTATGTATAAAAGTTGAAACGATGCAAGAGTCATTGGATGAGAGCACATATAAGCAGAAGAACACAGCAATGACAGGAGGGCAGATTGACAGACCAAGCAGAGACAAGCAGCATATTATTTGCATCAGAGACAGACAGAGAGAGAGAGAGAGAGGAGA